TCTACTGTTCTATGTTTTAAGAAAAATAAGTTTCAGAGCTTATTTGTAAATAGAAATAATCTATATACATATATAATGTATAATAGTTAAAACGTGACTGTATTTTACAAAATACTAGTCTATAAAACACAACCAAGACAAGTTACTTTGTAAAGACTAAAGGTCAGTTTTATTTTATTGGATATGGTAACACGAGTGCATGATCGCCACATCATTGTAACTTCTGTATTGTTAGCAATGCACAGTTGGAATGTCAATATAATAAATATATATAGATGTATAACGTTATGAGATTTAAGGTATTTAGACTAAAAATTTGTTTTTGTGTTATAATCTGCAGTCATTCTAGAATAATAAAACATAATTTATATTTTTTCCTAACTTTTTATTGAGGTTACGAAGTTGGTCGTATCGAAGCAACACGTACAGAAACACACTAGTGAAAATAACAAATATAGTTTTTTTAAACAAAAAATTTGATAATTGTCTGGAGATTATAAAGATTTTGAATGTGAAATTTGAAAATGTGCTAATGCATTAAAGTATTTTTAATCTTAAAATCAAAATTGCTTTGCATGTTGGATAGTCAACATTCTGAAATAAAAAGGTTTACGAGAAAATCTTTAATTGAAAAAAATTTTAATACTTAATTTATAAACCTGATATTTTGTGTATGAAAACCTTGTAATGTTTACCAATAACCTGCAAAATTTTGTAAAGATGTGCTTACATCATGAAACATCATAGTATAATTACTCTCATGCTTACGAGTTGGGTGGATTCGACCCAGTCCATAATGAAAGGGTTAAATGACAAATACAATGAGCTAATCTTTCTGATATTAGCAACAAACTATAAACTGACACTTGAAAAGAAACATCCTCATACCAAAAACTTTACTGTCTACCACAGTATCAAAACATTACAGCCTGAAGAGTGTATAAATAATAAAACTGTATTAAAGTTTTTACCCGTCCTTCTCCTGTGCTGATGATGACATCAATGGCATAAACTTCATGAAATTCAAACTCACACTTTTCATGTTCTTTCCTGAAACAAAGCCAGTGTAGTAAGTTAATTCAAACTTGAAAAAAATAAAATAAATAAACCAATTTATTTTAAACTACCAAAATTTATTATAACTGTTTGTTTGTTAGTTAAGCACAATGGGCTACCTAAAAATTCTTTGGTTACTAGTCTATGCTCTATGGGTAAATACTTTGATAATTAAGAATCAGCTGAAAAACGTCATTCATACGGTATACCCACAGATAGAGCTGAGACGTGTTTTCAAACCTAATTGTCACCTCAGTTCTTTCCTTAAATTCAAAGACCAAATTGTAACTTTACAAAATCTTTTGTTGTTTATAAACTCACTTGTCCCAGCTGTTTAGAGGGTTTTATTGTTTCCATTAAAAAGAAAATTATTAACATGTAGGAAAGAACGTATTAACCAGTTAATTATATTGACGACAAAAACTTTTACATTTGCTGTTATGTTACACTCATATTAAAGTTTTTCTTCTTTACCCATTTAAGCCGTCTCCAAGCATTATTAGTCTCAAAGTGGGTTCCTCGTCACTGAATAATTATAATATACTTGTATGTGCTCTGGGTAAATATGATATTATCATCCATTCTAAGTTGTTTAAGATCCTACAAGTAATAGAGTTTCCTGATATATAAACTGAGGCCCAAAACTAATGTTCTCGGTTCTTCTAGTACTTTAATGCTAAAGCTACAAAGATGTAGTAGAAACTGCTTGATGGTATATTAAAGAAGTCCACGATACAATAAAAGAAGTCCACGATACAATAAAAGAAGTCCACGATACAATAAAAGAAGTCTATAATACAATAAAAGAAGTCCACGATACAATAAAAGCTACTTTTTAATCATAGTACAATCAAGAGTGTAGCAATTACTACAGTAAATGCATATCAAACATGTCACTCTTTGCTTTCCAAGGTTAACTGTGTACCTTCTAAACTGCTGTTATGTTCAGTGTTTGAATAGCTCTATAAAACAGTGGTGGTGGAGATAAAGTAAGATTTGAGTAAAGAGTACGAATTTTTGATTAACTGATTTAGTCATATCATTAGACACACCATCCAAATCACCAAGTGACAAAATACAGAAAAAAGCACCCACTTTACCTTAAGTGATTAAACAATATTGAAAAATTGAAACTGATAGATGGAAGACACTTCCACTGTTAAAACATGACAATTCTAGAACTTACAAAAACACACACATAATAAATCCAAATTCTACAAATTATATATTTCTATGTTTATGTTCCATTTTATGCATAAAATCAAGCAGTAGACTAATAAAACATAAAAAGAAGCTTTATGATAAGCATTACTTAGGCAAGTTAGGTAATTTTCATTTTTAATGTTTTTAAAAATTGATACAGTGAGATTGTTAAAATAACTGGGCAATTTTTGACTCAGGTTTTACTACATGGTAAATATCACTTGACTTAGATTTGGCTCTCCACATACCATGCACTAGAAGCAGTAAGTAATGTAAAATATTCATGAAATAAACATCTCCTTAAGATCACTATATAACAATTACAGTGACAACAACTCCAACAGAAGGTTATGAAGAAATAGAAATTTCTATAAAAAATTATAGTTGACAAGAAAATAGTTGTTGCTCACCTCTGTGCTTCTGTGGGGTTTTGAATTATAGATTTTTCACCATCAATCTGAAATTGTTTCAGTTGGTGTGATGGCATGCCTACAACAGTAATGCATAAAATTAAGGAAGTCTGATGTGCAACAAGTTGTTTTTCCTTCAAATTTATTTAAAGAATAACCTACAGATGTGTAAAACTTTGTTATTTCATGACCACTTGTAATCACTCAAGTAACTGATAAGAGAATCCACTTATGTTTCTATTAACTGTTTTTTCAGTCTTGTTACAGATATCAAACAAACAAGTAACACAGTGTTTTCATAATAAAGTCAAATTATATTTACAGTTTCCAAAATTGTCTGAATTTTTAGTAGATTTGACCTGCTCATTCATATGAGCTTTTACCAGCAATATTTACAATTATTAAAGTTGATATTACTGGAATAACCTGGAACTTGTACAAGAATCATAAATAAAAATCAAACATATAATTCAAGTCCTTTCAACCTAACCCTAACTCTCTACAATACAAGTACTAATAACTTCAGTTCATGACTCACCTTCAATAGGCTTACCTAACCCTAACTCTCTACAATTACAAGTACTAATAACTTCAGTTCATGACTCACCTTCAATAGGCTTACCTAACCCTAACTCTCTACAATTACAAGTACTAATAACTTCAGTTCATGACTCACCTTCAATAGGCTTACAGTTGAAAGATTCTGCAACCTTCTGTATTGCATCTGCAACAGCAATATTCTGAAAAGCAGAACATTATGTGCTAAAATTAAAAAGGACACATTAACACTGTCTTCCCTACACGTCCTGCAAACTTCCCATTTCCCTTTATCAAATGAACAATTAATTCCAAAATGTTCATAATGGGTTTTACTCATTGAACTGTTAATGATAAAACTGGATTTGATATATAAAGATGGTAGGCATGAAAAATTTGTTGGTAGCTAAACCCGTCACCTGTAAATTATACCAATAACAAAACTCTGTAGTTAAAAATAATAATATACATTGTTGAACAAGGGTGGCCTCATTGTTAGCCTTCATTTTTTTAGTTAAGAACTACTGTATGATTTGAAGAACAAACAGAGAATAATGAAAAACCAAAGTGTTATAATAAACAACAACTATTTCATCCCAAACTAAAATAATATTAGTCGAACATCAATCACACAGACGAAGAAACTTTATTTAAGTTGTCACACTCAAATGGAAGTCATCTGATTATACTTACATCTCCTCCTGGTTTCACCATTCGAAGAGCGGTTTCGGCTGCAAAATATGCAGCACGTATAACATCTGCTTTCCTACCTGTCACTTTATTCTCCTGTCAAACAAGTTAAATTTATCAAGACAAAAATGATAGATTTACTTAGCTATAATTCTTACATGTATCAATTCACAAAAATAATTTTCTTACTTTTCTCTCCTTTCTGGCAAGTGCAAATAAAAACCTACATTTCGAACCATGCTTTTTTTTAGAAAACCATTATTTTCAAGTTTATTTGAAGCATCTTTCATTTTTAATAGCTCTTTATATATCAGCAAATAAATTTGACCAAATTTCTGGTGCAAAGGGGCTTAACTTAGGTGAAAAATTATTTTACTACTCTTTATTTTACACAATCTAGTCTACCTTGTCACTACAACAGAAAACGTGAATAATTCTTCTTCTTTGCTCATAAACTTTAGGTGATATCATGAATATCTCAGCCTCAAAAATTTTACCTAACATGACAAAAAAATTCAAGTTCATCTTTCAATTCTGAGGAGCGGGCAAGTTGAAATGACATCTGGATATCGGTTTAAACCTTGTAAGTCAACATGAACGAAGGACAATCATTGTAATCCTGGATAACTTGACATGGCTGAGAATGTTAGTGTAAGCCTAGATAAGTCAACATGAGCAATGGACATCAGTGTAAGCCTGGACAAGTCAGTATGTCTGACAAATGTTTATATAAACCTGAATACGTCAATATGACTGATTGATGTTGGTGTAAGCCTAGATAAGTTGATATAATTGATGGATGTTGGTGTAAACCTAAGTAAATGAATATAACTGATGGATGTTAGTGTAAACTTTGATGATCGTAGCCATTGAAGCTATATAAACTAAATCTACTGATCAGAGAAAAACAAAACTGAGAGCTGGATATTCTGTATTCATCTTTATATTTTTTGCATTGAAATGTTTGAAAAAATTAAAAATACAAACTTCTTACCTTACAAGTGCCAACTACTAGTGTGTGTGCAACAACAGCGATAAAGCCATCAATGTGAGCTCCGAGATCTCTGAAATAGACAAGCTTGTGATGTATAGTAGTGTTAGTAATAGAAAGGAAATATACTGAAAAATATCAATTTTTTATTTAATGTTAACAACACAAAACCAAAATTATCTTAACTTAAAACATATCTAAAAAAGTATCCTCCATAAGTTGTAGAACACTTTTAACCAAGTCTTCAAAGTATAAACTTTTCTGTTTTGTGTATAATAGCTGAGAAATGAGGTACAGTAAAAGCAACACACACACTTTAACCCTAAACTATCTGTTTATCAGGCTATAAGTTTTACACTTCTGACAAATGCAGCTGAATGTAGAATTTTCTAAAAACATTCTGTGACATTGAATCAAGGGTTTGAAAAACTCTAGAACATAAAACGAAGTTGGTTCTTTTCGTATTTAACATTATATATTAACCCACATACTACTTATCACAGAATACATTAATCACAAGTGCTATTACCTTTTGTTCACACTATTACCATAACTGGTATCACTACCAAGAATGTTCACACACATTTTAAATTTAGGTTAATTTATATTTTATGTTACTCCTACTCGCTTAATATACTTTGATAAACATTTTTCTATAGAAAAATATTCTAAAATTTTATTTATACTTTAGTTAAGTTCCAAAATACTATTACTTCAAGGTTTGGAGTGTGAAGTTTATATTAAAGTTACAGGATTAAAAATTGTTTAAAATTTAAAAACTGAAAATCCATTTGATTTCAAATATACTGAATAAAAATTTAAGTTCCATTAGTAACAATATCTGTAACGGGTCTACAAACCTTTCCCCCTGTTTAAAGCCTACCTTACTACTGACATTTATATAAAAACTCTAGTTACAAATTAATTTAATTAACACGTGTACTTTATACAATGTATCATACTCAACATTCTGAAAAAACAACACAGGGATGTAACACATAGTTAACCTTTCCATTTATAGTTCAACTTTTCAAATTGTTATAAATTCCTAATATAACTGCACAGAAACCTTGCTTGTAACATGGGAAAAATATAAAGCTTACAACAAGAGCTGTATTTGTACATTATTAACTATAACAGTGTATAAGTTTATTCAGCTACAAGTACAAAACTAG